AACAATAGGTCTACTCATTACTCATCCACTTTGATACAACCTTGTTGCTTCATAAAATTGTCAAAATCTTTTGATTAATACCAAGGTTAAGAAACAATTAATCATTTTTCATCAAATTTATTTCATATATTCATATTTGTTTTCATCTTTCATACATACATTACATCAATAATAACCATAGACAAGACATGAAAGAATTATTACATCAACTTTCATTCTAGTCATAGAGATTAATGTGATAAGGCAGATTGACTTTTAAAATTGTTTAATATCCCCATCAAAACACTACACAAATAATGTCACAAATTTCCTGTAATACATCACAAAATATATACAACACACTGTTCATGTTGTTATTGGATTCAAGTACTACTTGCTGATCAAAAAAATATTCCAAATGGGTCAGAGGTTATGCAAAAATGACCCACCCAGAAAAAATGCCAATTATTAAGCCTAATTCTTCAATCATTTAAAAAAATTGTAATAAAAGTGAATGAATAATATCAATAAAAGGAATTGATTTTTTTATTCAAAAAAACAAGCGATAAAATACACCGCCCAAACGGAATTTAGGGACCTAGCCCAAAAATGTTAATCAATAAACACAATGTCGGCCAGCAATGTGGAGCAATGAACGGAGGAAAAGAGGTGATACTTCTATAAAAAAAAATCCTGTGAGATTTAAATAAAACACGACGTGGTGTAAGAGCGTATTTTGTATCTAAAATGTCATATTTCATAACTACGTAAAAAGTTATGCTTACCGATATAATTCCAAAACGACATCAGGTAAAAAATAATCAGAAAGACTGGTTTACCCGTCGGTCCCATCTTCGCAAACTTTTAGGCAGACAATAGGTCAGTCCATTCAACCAACTGAACGCTTCAGACCCACATGTAAGCACTCAGAAAAAGCGTAAACAATCCAATTCACTCGGAAGAAACTTGTAAATATTCCGTCGGCAAATCCAACTTAACATTACAATCTCAAAGTTAAATATCCTTGCGACTGCAGATAAGATCAAGTCTAGAGAAACACGTAAAAGAAAGTTTTGTAGTGTTGCGAGCACTGAAATCCACAACTGCTCATGGTCCGTACCCTAACAACTAAGCTCGTTCTAACCAAACCTGCTGTTTCGTTGGAGTTCTTTTTTTATATGAACCGGAAATTCATTCAATTGCTGTTACCCCTCTGCAGACGACGCTGCGGTAATGTTTGTAATCGGTTTGTTCCATTGAAACAGAAATCTAAAATCTCAACTGGCGAAATTATTATTGGAATACTTTAACTGTTATCTACAAAAAGCAACATATTACTATTAGGGTTAACTGCTTCCTTGTTTTGTTTCATTTTGAACACAAACTATACGGGAGTAAGATTAACGCCAGACATTTATGGGCGGAGCCTAAAAGTTTTTGTCACGTGTCACCAACCACACTTTACGACACTCAAGCGTTTGAATGAATAATGTTTTTGATACGGCTATAAATCCGTTTCTTATTATTTACTTGTTGGATGCGTACGGATACGGGAGATTTATATAACAAAACTTTGTAGCCACCGCTCGATTTCATAAGTAAAAATGTGGCTGTCTCTCTACAAAGCGTTATCTATCAGCTATACGATACAGACCTTTTATACACATAATATATCATCTTTAGCACAAGACGAAACGTCATAAACTTATTTTTCTTGTAACAGCCATTTTACAATTGTTACCGTTACAATTAATCATTATCATTTTAATATCATTATCACTGTTATTATATTCATTATTACTATTATTATTATTATTATTAAATATTATGTTTTGTCATCGTTGTTATTACTATCGTCATCATCATTATTATCATAATTATCATTATTATTATTTCTATTACTAATAATATTAGTAATAATGATAATAGTAATAATAATAATTGTCTTAATCTTATTACTATTATTGATAGGCATATTATTATCGTATTATGTCTATTGAAATACGAACATGTACAACTATGAAATAATACATTAAAAAATATTGAATTAAAACGGGGCGTTACTAGATATCGGAAATTTGCCAGTCCTTCGGAATTAGTGAAATTACTGTAATGTCGTTTGCAATATCTAATTGGACGGTACGAGGGCGTTTGGTTGAAAAGAGGAAGGAGTGAATCGCCAAAGAACCCCCCGCAGACAGACAAAATTTTACTGGGCGTATAAAGGGTGAAAAGGATTCATACGAATAGACAGCAATGAAACAATGTCGTGCAAGAGAAAATAAAAGTTATCACCTAGCCCCCTAATTTAAGGGCTAATTACATATTTTTACACTGTTTTATTAATGATGTAGAAACGTATAAACGGTAGACAGATTAAATCCTACAATACTGAGAATAATCAGGTAGGTGTAGGTCTATTCCACTATTTTTTGGATAATGTTATAGAAAGGTTAACGGAAAATAGATTAAATCCAACAATAATACTGGGAATAAACCATCAGGTAGGAAGCGTGGGCCTAATTAAGTGGGACAGGGGCCTACCAGAAAGCGAGACTGAGACATTTGGTGATTCGTGATTCATAGTTACAGATGTTCTAAATAGGTCCATCTTTAAGGCAAATTCTTCAAATTATCTTTGGTGATTCGTGATTCATAGTTACAGATGTTCTAAATAGGTTCATCTTTAAGGCAAATTCTTCAAATTATCTTTGTTCACCAGTCAAATTATGAATTATAAAATATTATTAGGCACTTTAATGATTTCTTTCTTTTGTGTGTATTTAAATCTCTCTTTTAGTTTTTATATAATTTTTAAAGAGTAGGCTTCTAAACTGGTCCCTTACAATTGTACTTTCACTGTTTTGTTGTTGTCTTTGGTGATTGATTGATTGATTGATTGAAATTGAAGAGTTGCCAGAATATAAAAAAACACACAACCTGTTGTAATCAAACCGTTGATGGTTTTTTTTTAACATAACGGTTGTTTCCCTTATTAAGATTGTATTTGCCTATTAATTTTATAATTATATTGCATTAAATTATTTATTAATCTTTTTGTTTGTTTTTTTTTTTTTTTTTTTTTTTTTTTTTTTTTTTTTTCACTACTGGTAAAAGAGCGCATAGCCGGGAGACATTGCCTGGCGTTATGTGTTATAAAAATGGACGACCGTGGGTCTCTGATTCGCCAAGTAAGGTTATCTGGCCTGTTAACGAATTCATTAATTTAAAATTTAAAAAAAAGGATCTAGACTACAAACTCACAATTGTTATTACACTGCCACGGGCAATGAAAGGAAAAAAATATCTTGAAAATAATATCGAAATAAAATAATTTGCACCAGAAATTACGATGGTTAAATATTGGTTTTACATCTAGGCCCACTTCCTGTTAATTGTGTTTTATGTTCATGCAATCCGGTTCATGGGCAAGCATGTATGTTGAAACAATATTTCTTCTCTTAGTTAGCTAGTTCTCTCTAAGCCTTGTAATATTTATTGGAATTTGGTGAACATGAAATAGACTAATGTTGGTTGAATTTATTTGAATCTTTCGCTGCGCGTTAATTTCATAAAATGTTAAAAAAATGAACTCAAAGTCTTAATTTGATTTTCTCATAGTTCGAATTTGACCCTATTGATACAAAAGAAGCCATTATCCCATACGAATTAGGATACCAAAGCTACGGGCATATCTCAAATTCCCTGGTGTTTAATGTGGCAAAAATTATTCTAAGAGACGGATACGGTACCGTACTTGACGTACGGTACCGTGCTTACAGTACGCAAATTGTTCTTATAGGATATTTTTTTTAATGGGACAGTATATTGTACTTATAAAAATGATAATGAGGATTTTGATGATATGCCTAATTATAATATTAATAATAATAAATGAACATTTGTAAATCTGCAACGCTGATTGGACGGTACGAGGGCGTTTGGTTGAAAAGAGGAAGGAGTGAATCGCCAAAGAACCCCCCGCAGACAGACAAAATTTTACTGGGCGTATAAAGGGTGAAAAGGATTCATACGAATAGACAGCAATGAAACAATGTCGTGCAAGAGAAAATAAAAGTTATCACCTAGCCCCCTAATTTAAGGGCTAATTACATATTTTTACACTGTTTTATTAATGATGTAGAAACGTATAAACGGTAGACAGATTAAATCCTACAATACTGAGAATAATCAGGTAGGTGTAGGTCTATTCCACTATTTTTTGGATAATGTTATAGAAAGGTTAACGGAAAATAGATTAAATCCAACAATAATACTGGGAATAAACCATCAGGTAGGAAGCGTAGGCCTAATTAAGTGGGACAGGGGCCTACCAGAAAGCGAGACTGGGACATTTGGTGATTCGTGATTCATAGTTACAGATGTTCTAAATAGGTCCATCTTTAAGGCAAATTCTTCAAATTATCTTTGTTCACCAGTCAAATTATGAATTATAAAATATTATTAGGCACTTGATTTCTTTCTTTTGTGTGTATTTAAATCTCTCTTTTTTATATATATAATTTTTAAAGAGTAGGCTTCTAAACTGGTCCCTTACAATTGTACTTTCACTGTTTTGTTGTTGTCTTTGGTGATTGATTGATTGATTGATTGATTGATTGATTGAAATTGAAGAGTTGCCAGAATATAAAAAAGCACACAACCTGTTGTAATCAAACCGTTGATGGTTTTTTTTAACATAACGGTTGTTTCCCCTATTAAGATTGTATTTGCCTATTAATTTAACGAATTCATTAATTTAAAATTTTAAAAAAAAGGATCTAGACTACAAACTCACAATTGTTATTACACTGCCACGGGCAATGAAAGGAAAAAAATATCTTGAAAATAATATCGAAATAAAATAATTTGCACCAGAAATTACGATGGTTAAATATTGGTTTTACATCTAGGCCCACTTCCTGTTAATTGTGTTTTATGTTCATGCAATCCGGTTCAAGCATATATGTTGAAACAATATTTCTTCTCTTGGTTAGCTAGTTCTCTCTAAGCCTTGTAATATTTATTGGAATTTGGTGAACATGAAATAGACTAATGTTGGTTGAATTTGTTTGAATCTTTCGCTGCGCGTTAATTTCATAATGTTAAAAAATGAACTCATAATCTTAATTTGATTTTCTCAGAGTTCGAATTTGACCCTATTGATACAAAAGAAGCCATGATCCCATACGAATTAGGATACCAAAGCTACGGGCATATCTCAAATTCCCTGGTGTTTAATGTGGCAAAAATTATTCTAAGAGACGGATACCGTACTTGACGTACGGTATCGTGCATACAGTACGCAAATTGTTCTTATAGGATTTTTTTTTTAATGGGACAGTATATTGTACTTATAAAAATGATAATGAGGATTTTGATGATATGCCTAATTATAATATTAATAATAATAAATGAACATTTGTAAATCTGCAACGCTGCCCCCTGTAAATTTAAGGACCTGATAAAGAACAACGGTGGATAAAAACGATTGCCTATAGAGGGCGCTACACACTTCTTAATTATTTTGGAATTTTCCAAAGTCTTCATCTACAAACAGGATATTACGAGAGGCTTAAGTAACGTCAAATTCATTACAGAAGCAACACAAGCAAATCACACGCAGTTTGTTCAAAGTTTCCATAAGATAGGCCTATAGTAATGTTGGCTATTGTTGTTTTACACAACTCTAATAATTTTCCAGCCCAGACCCTGCCCTGATATTTTGAACCCTGGATAGGATGAGTAGGCCGTTGGGAATTGTAATAAAGAAAGAAGATCAAAGTAAATAGGTCCCTTTATCTGTTGAGCTCTTCTCTGACGTATTATGAATCACATGTCGATTTTGAATCATTTAAAATCAAGTAGCTATCAGCTGATTCGAATACACACGTAAGCTAATGCTCACGGCGCAATTCGGATGTTTCTTTCAGGATCGCCAGTGTATGACCGCCAAAAGCGAAGCCTTGTAGCTCAATCAGCGGGGGTACTTTTCATGCTCTATTGACACTTTTTTTTCGCATTATTCAGTGGAATCTAATATTAGGAATTGTATTTTCCCTCGAGTCCAATTTTCGTAATAAAATCGTAATGTTGACATGGAGTGCCAATAGAACACAGCAGCGCAGAATGTAAAGCACTTCTGGAAAAGATAAAATAAAAAATATCTCGCCTCCAAACTCACAGGCACGCTTTTCGCACGTGTGGGTATTTGATGAGATGTGCGACACGTGTGCTCGTAAAGTTGGACGTTCTCATCAATCATTAGCAGAGGTGCATATCATGTGTATTTATCACTGGCGACTGACGCTCGATTTTTGTCATGTTGTTTATAGCTCTAACACTGAACAACATGTA